CATTGATCCCCGCTCTTCGGGCCCTCGCCCTCTGGGGGCCCCTCTTTGAGCCCTCTCGGGTCGCTCCTGGGGCCCTCTTGGGGCCCTCTCGGAGCTCCCTTGGCTTGCCCCTGGAGTTTGGCAACCTCAGGGCCTGACTTGCCCAGGGTGCTCCTCTCCCCAGGGAGCCCCAGGGGCCGCCATGCGCGCGCGCGCTACACAGCACGTGCAATCCATGAGCACCTCGTCGGGGAGCTTCTGGCGCGCCCTGGGCCCGTGACACACATCGAGGACTTCCTTCCTGGCCTCCGACAGGAGAAGCTGGAGACCAGCATCCTCGACATCGGCTCCAAGCTCCAGGCCCCTGGCCTGACGGCCGCCCTCCGGGGGCTGCATGCGGCCCAGGAGCCCGGCGGCTCGGAGACCCTCCAGAGGCGGGCAGAAGCGGCCCCGGGGCTGGACCTCGACGGTGTTTTGGGCGATTTCGTGGGCCGTTTTCGTTTCGATATCGTTCTGCGGTGAAGGCGGATGTGAAGACAGAGCGAGGGGCAACGGAAGCAAGACGAGAACGAGAAAGACCGTGGAGGCTCAGCCCTGAGACGGCCCGTGTGACAGGTCATCCGCCTCCCGAGGGGGTCCTCTGGAGGCTCTCTTCGGCTGCCCCTGGGCCGCCCCTGGGCCGCCCCGAGGGCCGGCCGCGCCTCCAGGTCAGCAGCGTCGACATGGGCGAGAAGCCGAGGCGGAGCAGGCGGTCCGAGTTCGTGGCGGATCTGAGCAACGAGAGCAACGAGGTGGTTCAGATTGACGTCGTGAGCAACGGAGAGCTGGAGCTCGTGGCATCGGCGCTGTAGGAGCGACGGCCTGGGCGCTGTCACGCCGCAGGAGCATGACCGGCGCTCTGCGCGTGAGCGCGGCGCCACGGCGACTCTGCCTGCACCGATCCTGGCCCCAGGCCAGCCTAGGCCGGTCCGGGTCGGTGCAGGTTGAGAGTCCGGGGCTCGCAGAGGGAGGGTTATCCCAAGGTGGGGCAGGGGAACGGGCCCAGCTGGATGCGTCCGTTTCACGAGGTTCCTTCTTCCAGGGGCCGCTCGGAGCGATTTTCCCTCCAGCCCCACCTGTGCCCCCACCCCACCTTTTGTTGGGCGCCCGAGTTATCCGGGGTAACTCGGGTCCAGGGTAACTCGGGTTTGGATTCCCGAAGAAGGAACCCGAGTTAGCCCTGACCCGAGTTACCCCTGATGATGTGGGGTTCTGGACGCCCGAATTATCCGGGGTAACTCGGGTCCGGGGTAAGTCGGGTTCGGATTCCGGAAAAACGAACTCGAGTTAGCCCTGACCCGAGTTACCCCTGATGATTCGGGGCTCTGATTTTGTGCCCCCCCGAGAGGGGTGCCTTCCTTGCCCTCCTCCGCTCTCGGGAGCGGGGGATTTGGCTCGCAGCCTCGGCCAGCACACATCCGCCTGCCAGGGGCGCGCCATGGTCCGAGTGTTCCCCGCCTGCGGAGTCAGGTGACAAAGCGGAGGAGTCGGCCACGCGCAGGGGGGGGGGGTCGATACTCGTTTTGGGGACCTTCCTTGGGGCCACCTAATGGATCTGTTCGACTCAGGTTCGACTCAAGTTCGACAAAGGTCGACTCAGGTTCGACTCAGATTCGACTCAGGTTCGACTCAGGTTCGACTCAGGTTCGACGCAGCTTCGACGCAGCTTCGACGCACGAGTGGAGCGAGTGGCTCCAGGAAGGTCCCCAGAATGAGCATCTAAGGGGGGTAGGGGGAGTGGGGAAGGCTTCTTGGAAGCACCCCTGCTTCTTGGAAGGCGCCGGCCCTCTCCATAGATGTAAGGCCAGCGCCTTCTAAGAGGCAGCCCCCTTCCAAGAAGCCTTCCACCCTCCCCCTACCCCCCTTTCTGCGCGCCGCCAAAGGTGACAAGCTGGAGGGGGCTCGGGAAGGAGTCGAGCAGAGGCGAAGCGTTCTGGCTGGTCTGCACGAACTGTTCTTAGAACAGTTCTGGCTGAGACTGTCATGATTAGACACATCGGGTTTCTGTTCCAAGAACATTGTTTTTGTTTTTCGAACGGTTTTGGGGGTACATGTCGTGGTAAGCCTCTGGGAATGCCGGGACGGTCGGCACCTGCTCAGAGGCGGGGATACAGGGGTGGGGAAAAGCATCGACCCTCCATCGCCCAGTCATCCCCGAACGGGGTTCGGGTGCCCCGCCCTGTCCAGGAACGTCCGGTTTCCCTTGAACGGGAGTCCATCGTCGATCCATCGGCAAATCATCGCCGATTCCAGGTCGGTGTCCCCCCCTGAGCCCACACCCTCCGTTCGCCATTCCCCGCAGTCGGTATCTGAATGGCCCCCTATGGTTTGTTCATGATGCTCGAGTCAGACACCTCCGAGTTTGTTGCTACTCCGCCTTCTGGGGCAGGGTATTGATACCGCGCCTTGCCTGACCCGTGACAGTCGGGGCCAGGTATTTTTTTTTGCTGGGGCACCCCAGGAGTGTTTTTCCTCTCTTCCAGGCTTGTTCCGCTGGGTGTTCGTCCCGCTCCTCGTGCGGCCCGTGAGTGCCTGGCCTGCCGATGGCTCCTTGTCCAAGCAGTGCCAACCTCCTCCTGCTTGTTTGTCAGGAGGGAAAGAAACACACAGACACAATTAATCCTGGATTCCCAGGAAATATAGGAAAATATGGGAAGTGGGGGGGGAAGACAAGAGCCCAGAAAACATGGGAAAATATGGGGGATATGTTTATTTGTGTGCATTTATTTGTGTGTCCCAGTTCCCCTTCAGTTTGCCCCCCCAGCAACAAAGAAGTTCGAGGGTCGACGCCGGTGCGGCTCTCTGGGCCCGAGGTCCAAGGGGAAAGCCGCCGAGTGAAACGGAAGGTTCCGGGCAGCGCTCTGACCATGATGCGCAGAGGGAGGGGGGCAAGGGCTGCGTGCTCCACCCGCTCGCGCACGTCGGCCTCTTCCTCAGCCCAATTTCACCACCGCCGGCCTCCCACGGTCGGCCCATGCAGTAGGGACATCGGATAAGAATACTGCCTGGCAGCATGTGCGCCACACTCACCGAGCAATTTGCGCTTGATCTTCGGATGACAAGCTGTTTGCCAGCGTGGACCCCAACCACGAATGTATTGCGCTGTAGACTTGTAGGCAATGAGGTGCAAGCTACGTAGATGTAAGCTCCGTGGTGCGCGCTATGTGATGCAAACTATCTGGTGTAAACTATGTGGCGGAAGTTATATGGGATAAGCTTTGCGGTGCAAGATAGGTGTTACACGCCGCGTAGTGCAATTTGCCGGGTGCAAACAATGCTGTGCAATTCATGTGGTGCAAGTTGTGTGGCGTCAGCTGTGTAGTGCAAGCTCTGTCGTTTAAGCTATGTGGGAACAGCTGTGTTGTGAAAGCCGGGTGGTGCACGCTATGTTGTGCAATCCGAATGTATGTACAGCTGCATATGTTTACATGTATAACACGGGGTGGGCGTTCCAAGGTCCGAAACCCGTGCCCCTCGACATCCCATGAGGGGGTCTTGGTCCAAGGGAGCGCTCCCTGAGCGCGCCATGAGCGGAGTCCAGGGCCCCAAGTGGCCCCCCAAGGCGGTCCTAGGGCGTTCCGAATCGCCAAACGAGCGCTCCAAGACGTCGAAGGTGGCCCCCTTCCAGCCCAGGAAGCGGCCAGGAAGCCCCAAGAGGCCTCGAAGAGCCCTCACGATAGCGCCCCGAGAGGCCCAAATCATTGATTCCCCCTTGGTTTGGGATGACATGCTGGCGATTTTGCTGTTCCAGGGCCCCCGCGCTCCCAGCCAGCCCCAGAAGTCCGCAGGACCGCCTCAAGACGTGACTGCCTACCAGACCATCCCAACCCAACCCGAAGACCCGAATTTCGGGTTGGGGGGGGTAAGGGTTCCACATGTGTTTTTTCGATGTTTCCCGACCCCCCCCCCACTGGAAATCGAGGGTAAATCTGAGCCTTCGGGTTGGGTTGGGGTGGGTTGGTGGGTGGTGAAGACGGCCCAAAGAGGCTCCCAAGAGCGCCCCGAGATGGCCCATGCGAGCCCGCAGGAGAGCCCAGAGGCTTTCAAGACGGCCCCAGTCACGACGGCCCCAAGAGCGCCCCAAGAGGGGGAACGCGAGCCGAAGCTCCGACGAGCCCTCCCCAGGAGTCTCCAGGAAGCCCCGACGGGCCCCGAGCTGACCCCCTGGAGGCTTCCGGGAAGCTCTCCAGGCGTTCCCAGCCTGCATTGAGTGAGGCCCCCCCCGAGTTCGCGGACGGCAGCCGTATGTTGCGCACTCGTGAGGTGCCCCACCCGACGAGAGCCTCCCACCAGTACAATTGGCTCCCACCAGTACAATCGCTGTCGATGTCGTCGTCATGCAGACGTTCCCGAAGACGCCTCTGGGAACCTCCTCGTCGTCCCCTTCCTCTTCCTGCTCCTCTTCGTCCTCCTCCCCTTCCGCCTCGTGGCTCTCCTCCGCCCCTCCCGCTTCGATCTCTTCCCCCAATCTCTCCGCCTGCCGCTTACATCATCAAAGCTCCCAAAGGGCGGCAACTACGGAGCCATCTGGGCCCTGCCGTTTCGGCGCCGCCCCTGGGGCTCTGAGGACGGCCGAGTCCCCTCCCCCCGCCTCCGATTTGAATGGCGGCGCGAGGACGGCCGAGTCCCTTCCCCTCGTCCGAATTGATTGGCGGCTGCGCGCCGCTGCCTTGTTGAAGCGCTGATTTCAGAATCGTGCTGTTCCCACGACGCGAGGACGTCCGAGCCTCCTTCCCCCCCCCCGCACCCCGGAAGCTGCGTGGCGGCCTCGCGCCGCTGCCTTCCTGAAGTGCCGGCATCCACGCGCGGGTGCCGCCCAGAGGGCGCCAGGCTGCCGCGCCGCGGCGCCCTCCCCTCTCCTGGAGCAGGAGCAGGAGCAGGAGGAGGAGGAGGAGGAGGAGGAGGAGGAACGCCACAGCTTCACGCTCAGGTTGGCCTAACGTAAAAGGAGGAGGAGGAAGGAGGAGGAGGAGCGAGGAGGAGGAGGAGGAGCCCCCTGGGTCCAAATGCCTCGCCGTGCGTGGTAGCGACCGGCCCTGAGCAGCCGCTGCCGAGTGCTTGGCCGGAGTGCCAGGTCAGTTTTGCGGCCGCCCGAGGGCACGCGGCCGCGCTCTCTCCGCGCTGGGGTCGGAGCGGCTCAAGCCAGTGGGCAGGGCAGCCCCGCAGACCCCTCTCGCTCGGATCCATTCCCCCCCCCAGCCTCCTCCTCCTCCTCCTCCTCCTCCTCCTCCTCCTCCCTTTCCCCCCTCCTCCTCCTCCTCCTCCTTCTCCTCCTCCTCCTCCTCCTCCTACTCCTACTCCTACTCCTACTCCTACTCCTACTCCTACTCCTACTCCTACTCCTACTCCTACTCCTACTCCTCCCACCACCACCGCTTCCCGATCTGGCGTATGCGCGTGTGCTATTCGGAGCCGCCCATTGCGCTGCCGGGTTGTCCTCGACAGCCCGGGCGCTGCGAGCGGGAGCGAGCTTCACTCTCTGGCTGATCCAAGTGTACATAAATGCACCGCCATCGTGTTGCCTACAGTTCGAGCTGATGAATTGTACCTTTCTGGCGGGTTGTTCACTCCTTCTCCTCCTCCTCCTCCTTCTCCTCCTCCTCCTCCTCCTCCTCCTCCTTCGCCTTCTCTTCGCGCCCCTGGTCCTCCAATCCGTGCGAGCAGGTAAGAGATAGAGGGACACGCAATCGTCATTGATTTCTAGCTGCCCGAGCGCACGGCGGTGGAGAGATCAGCGCCGCTGCTTTTTGAATAGGCCGCCGCGCATTGCTCGCCTTGTCGCCTGCCCTGGTGCATATCCTCCCTTAGTTGTTTACAGCCGCTCCGCGCGCCGTTCGTTTTTCCCCGACATCCCTGGCGAGCGTAGTGGGGAATGGGCCTCAGGCTCCGTCTGAGCGCCACGAGGCGCTGTAGGTGCGCATCGACGCACCGCGCACCACCACCGCCAAGCACCCACTGGCCGAGCTGTCACACGACGCCTTTCCCGAGGTATGTCCGCTCCGCTGCCTCCTCCTCAGCGCACTGCCCCAGAGGAACTCGCCCCAGTACCCCGACAGATCACGCTTTCCCAGCCGTGAGAGCATGCAGCACGTAAGATGATACACAGCGCAGTCCTCATTCTTGCAGGGGCCAGGGGCAATGCAGACGCTGCTGTGCAGGTTCTCGGCGGCGGCGGGCGTCCCTTTTGCGCCATGTGCCCTGTGCCTGGCGCTTTGCGCACACTTCGTGGTGTCGGGGCGCGGCTCCACCGTGAGGAGCGCGTTCCCGCCTGACCAGGAGCTTGGCATCGCTCGGACGTGTGCAGTTTTTCTCGGCGAGGACCATGGAGGAGCATCCTGGATGACTTAGCGAAAAAAGCTCGCACGAAATCGAAACATACACGAGGAATGGACGTCCGAGCGATGGCAAGGGAGTGGCCGGTCGCTTGCGCGTAAGGGTGCGTATGTGCGTTTGGCGCGATCACATCCGAGTGAAGGGACCTGCGAGCGCTTCTGCGACGCTGCCAGGCTCTCGCGGGCAAAAAGCTGAGACCCCCTCAAGAGGCCTCAAGAGGCCCCGAGAGGTAACCGAAAGACTACCATAGGCACCATTCACGGCGCTCACGACGGCCCAAGAGGCCCTCCAAACCGTTCCAAGTCAGCCCCAACGGCTCCAGAGATAGCTCCAAGGTGGCCCCAGAGCCGCCCAAGACCTCCCAAGACAGCTGCAAGGCAGCCCCGAGGGAGTCTCCAGAAACCCGAAGAGGCATCCAAGAGAGAGATCCCCAAAGAGGCATCAAGAGACCTCCAAGAGGCCACCAAGAGGCAGCCTTTTCTTGTGCTTCTGCGTGGGCTCGACGCAGTTTCGACGTAAGTTTAGCGTGGAGTCGGCACGGATTCAACGCGGATTCGGCGCATCCGACGTGGGTTCGACATCGATGCGACACGGATGGTTGGCGCGACGGGACAGGCGAGGACCCCGAGAGATGCAACGTAGCCCACATTTTGGGGCAATGTTCCCAAAATCGAGGATGAGAGGAGGAACAGATACCGACAATGTTGCCCTTGCCTCGGTTTCGCCATTTGGGGCATCGGGGGACCTTCCCGGTCCTGTAAGTAAGTGGAAGTCTTCTCTTATGCTCCGACGTGGGCTCGACGCAGCTTCGACGTGAGTTCCGCCTTTACTCGACACAGGCTCGACGCGGATTCGGTGCCTTCGACATGGTTTCGGCACGGGTGCGACACGGATGGCTGGCGCGATGGGACAGACGAGTTCCCCCCAAGATGCAACATGACCCACATCCTAGGGCAACGCTCCCAGAATCGAGGGTCAGAGGAGAAATGGGCACCAGTACCGCTGCCCTTGCCTCGTTCTCATTGCTGTCTGCCTCCTGGGAAGCCCTCGGCGCCACGGCTGCCCCAGAGCGCCCCTGCACGGCCCGCGAGGCCCCTCACGGCACTTCCCACCCGGGCCAAGAGAACCCCGAGAGCCCCTGCAGGCAGTCCAGGGATCCCGAATCCCCCAAGTTCGCCTCCAGTCGCTTCCCCCCCCCCCAAGAGGCATCCACAAGCACTTCGAAGAGCGCCCCAGCATACCTCTATTCCTTGATTCTTCTCACGTCTTGCTGGGATGTTCTACTTCCTCCTTTTACGGCGTGGCCGCTCCCCACGACGGCCCCAGGGGCCCCGAAGCTCGCCCAAACACGGCGCAGGATGCCCCCCAGGAGGGTGCCAATTCTGCCTCAGAGCGCCCGCAGGCGGCGCACGAGGCACCCCAAGACGCCTCCCAGACGGGCCAAGAGAACCTCCAGACCCTCAGACCCTCCCCCAGACGATCCAGGGAACCCCGAATCACGCAGGTTCCCGTCCAGTCGTCGTCCCCAGAGGCCTCCAAGACGGCCCAAGAGGCATCCACAAGCACTTCGAAGAGTGCCCCAACACACCAAATCCATGTATTCTCTTTCGTTTTCTATCGGATTTCCCACTTCCTCCCTTTTCGGCTTGCGGCGCTCCACGACGGCCCCATGGGGCCCTCAATATCGCCCCAAGACTGCCCAGGATACCCCCAGGAGGGTGCTGATACTGCCCCCGTGCGCCCCAAGACGGCCCACGAGGCCCCCAAGACGGCGCCAGAGGGCCCCAACAATGCGCCCAGAGCGGTCCCAGAGGGAGAAAACGACTTGGGGCGACCTGAGAGACTTCTTGGGCCGTCCGGGGCGGTCGGAAGCTTGAAAAGACGGTAACGCCAGCCTCTTTCACACCCTCCGCAAAATCCATGAAGTGTGCCTTTGCGGGCTCCCTGGGGGCCCTCTTGGAGCCATCCCGGAGCGTCGTCGGCACCTCCTTGGGGCGCTCCTTGGGTGCTCCGGGGGCCCCCCGGGGCCGCGCCTAGGAGTTCCGGCATCTCTGGCCCGGACCTGCCGGGGACCCGCCGGGACCTCGTCGGGCTACTTCGCGTCTGGGCCCCCCAGGGGAAGCCACGCGCGCGCGAACTCGACACGTTCTGACACGCCTGCCAGAGATTTTAGCACGCCTCTGGCCCGTTGGGCCTGCGTATTGGCGTTGGACCCCCTGCAGGCGCCTTGGCGCTCACGCTTCGGCGCCAGCTGCATCTCCTTCGAAATTGAGGCTCACCCTCAAGCATTTTGGGGTTCCGCCCGAACTCCCCCCCAACAGCAACAACGCTCCTGTGCGATACCTCCTCACAGTTTACTCCGAGAGGCCCTGGAGCCCGAGCCTCAGGAAGAGCGCTCTCGCCTGAGAATTCTTTTCAGTGTGGCACCACAAGAGGGTCCTGGAGAGCAGTCTTGCCGCTGCTTGCGGATGCTGGAACGGCCGTTTCGCTTGCGACGTCTTCGAAATTTAGCACTACACGGGGGTCCTTCAGAACCAGGTTGCTGCTACTCGCGGACACCGGCATGGCCTTTTCGCTTGAATTTGTTCGCAATTCAGCAGCACAAGGGGGTCCTTCAGAGCATTCTTGCTGCCTGCTGCTCGCAGATGCCGGAATGGCCGTTTCGCCTGCGATGTCTTCGCAAGTCAGCAGCACAGGGGAATCCGTCAGAGCAGTCTTGCCGCTACTTGCGGAGGCCCCAGGAGGCCCCAGGAGGCATTGGCTCTATTGGGACATGTGTTCAGGAAGAGTTTTTTGGCCGCTCCGCTCCCAGGTGGCCCCAGGAGGCATTTTTCTGTATTGGGATATGTTCTGGTGGAGCATTTTTCGGCCCTCCCGCTCCCAGGAGGCCCCAGGAGACGCTTTTCTGCATTGGGGTAATGATGCGTTCGGGCAGCGGTTTTCGCTAGCCCCCCCGCCCCCAGGAGGCCCCAAGAGGCACCAGGAAAAATGTTTCTGTACTGGGATGTGTGTTCGGGGAGCGCTTTTCGGCCCACCGTAGGCTTCGCCCTCGTAGGCTTCGCCCCAAGATGCTTCGCCGCCCCTGGGCTCGAATCCTTTTGCGCTTTGCAGATGTTCCTAAATATTGTCCTTCTCCTGGGCTCAAGCGCTCTGTGTGTTAAATATGCTCCTGTACATTCCTTTGGACTGGGGCTAGGATCCTTTGTGTGTTCACGCCTGATCCTGGAGATTTCCCCTCCGCCCCTCCATAGCCGCAATGATTTCCATGTGTCGTGCGATCTGGAAGTGGGAGTGTTCCTCGGGAGAGGTGTTGGCTCGACCTCAGCTCGACCTCCTTGGGCGGGAGATCTGGGTGTGGGAATGTCGCCCCTCCCTTCCCCTCCCCTTCACTCCAATTCCCCAAGTGGGGTTGGCATCGTGCATGTGGCATGTTGATGCGTGGCTATGGGGGCACCAAGATTGCTGTTGTGGGATTCTCAAGTCTAATGAGTAGTTGTCTTTGACCCTCCCTCCACCGTGCGCCTGATGTTTTTCAATTGAAGTGCCCCTCACAGGGCTCGCATTGTTTTGCAAAGGGAAGCCCCGTAATGTGCTGTTGGGCCCCGAACTACAGCACCAGCAATCATTTTACCTTCACGCGCCATGAATTTTTGATACCCGTGCATCCATCATGATGCCACCCCCTGGAGGGACTATATGAAAAAAGGGAGCGAGACTCCCACACCCAGACTTCCCGCCCAAGAAGACTCGTGCTTGTTTGAGGGGCATGAAATGGAAAGTTTGACGAAACGTAATGCGCTGCTGGCCCCCGACCGACAGCATCAGAAACCGTCATGCTAAGACTGTTCGCTTTCAAGTGACCGCGTTGCATTCAACATGTGCATGCCAAAAAACTCGATATCCGACGTCTTCGTCGTCGATCGTGCCCCCCTTAGGGAGCCCCAGCGGCAGGGTCCAAACGGCGGCGCCGCCCCCATTTTTGCGCACCCCTCGCACGGTTCGTGGCCCCATATGGAATTCCACCGAAGGCCCCCCACTGGCAGGGTCCACATGGCGCCGCCGCCCCACTTTGGCGCACCCCCCACACGTTTCGTGGCCCGCCCGATCTGCCCATTTGGTTTTGCCACTTACTGTCTGTTCCTGGCCCCTCTCCTGCTACTTTCTCTCGTGCTCCCTCTTTGTCCCTCCCCTCCATTCCCCTCCCTCCCCTTTTTAGGGGCTGCACTACATGCGCGTATCAGGGAAGGAAGCTATACCCACAAGGGGGCACGATCGAAAACGAAGAGAGCGGGTACCGAGGGCTTGGGATATACGTGTTGAATGGCACGAGATCGCAAAATAATGTATTGTCTTGAACGTATGGTTGTTGTTGTTGGTGTTGTTGCTGCTCAATGTCCATTTCTAAGCAAGAGCTGTTGCTCGTCCCCCTGGTGACCACTGGTGCTTTTCAATCAAAGTGCTCCTCCTGGGGCCCGCACCTTGTTTTTGTTTAGGTAAGGCGTGTGGACGCCAAACTGCACCCCTGGCCCCCGGTTTAAGACAACAGCGGTTCCCGCCTGATCCTTCCTTACACATTATTTCAATGTCGCGCTCTCGCGCGGGACTTCTTCATACTTTATCCAGGAACCACGCTTTCGCGTTGTATTTCCCCACGATGTACTGTGGCGCCGTGCCCCCCAGATTCACAAATCACGCTATCGCTGTGGATGTCCTGACGATTTAATCGGGAATCTCGTTATCGTTCGAAACTTCCGACGCTTTAGCGACTGCTCGCTCGACCTTGCCGTATGGGCCCGCCCGTCCGACCTGCCCGTTAGGGCCCGCCCGCCCAATACGCCAGGCTGGTTATGTTGCTGTTGCTTGTGCTGCTGCTCCTAACCCTTTTCCTGCAAATTTATATCGTGCTCCATCCTTCTCCCTCCCCCTTGTCTCTCCACTCCTCCCCTCCTTACAATACCCTTTGTCAGGGCCTGCGCCAACTACACTCGGCAGGTAGAGGGATATACCCCCAAGCGTGGG